CAGGGGCGGAGGTAACGGTCCGGCGCGCGGGGCGGGGCGCGGCGCCATGAGGCGGGGGCGGCGCCCGGGCGCTGTGCCCACGTCATCACTGTACATCGGCGCTATACATTGATCGTTGCCGTTGTTGAGTTCCCCCCTGGATCAATAGGCGCGCGGGGAGCTTGGGCAGACGTTGTGGGGCTGGAATTCGCTCCCGTGAGCACGCCGGATGCCCCTGCGGCTTGGCGTGGCGGGCAGGGTGCTCAACGCATCTCCCCAAACTGCAGAGCCTTTGCAATTAAAATTAAACCAAACGTGGCTGAGGGAGCGGAACTGTGCCAAGCCTGCAAGCCAAGTGCATCTTTCGGCTGCTGTTCTGGATTCCTGTGTGGTCTTGAGCAAGTCTTTTAATCTGGCGAGTGCATCAGCTCCCTGTTTGCGAAATGTCATAGCAATTCCCAAAATTAAGCGTAGCAAGGTGGTTGCTCAGCGGTGAGAAACAGTGCAACAGACCCAAAATCAACATCCAATTCCTGTCTGGAGTTTGTTTTCTATCAAAGAAATACTTGATTTCCTTTCCTCCTTCCTTTAAAAAATAAGTTAAAAATTACACTGGATAAAGCATTATGTTATTGCTAATAAGTATACTGACTTATTAACAAATCGAGCCTGTGTCCTTAAACTCTCCTGCCTTATCGGCCTACACTGAAATCCTATAAATGATGTGGGGAGCCTGAATTCCAGCTGTCCTAATTAGCGTCTAGGAGCTGAATTACTTTTGTTTAAAAGCAGGTTTTACGGCCCTCTTCAAAGGCTGAAATTCAAAAGCATAACAGAAATGTCAATGAGAATATAACAGTGGATCTGAAAGTATTACAGATATTTATGTTAGAGACATATGTGATGTATTTAGAGAGGTGTGTGCGGTTTATTTAATGCAAAACATCTTTAGATTTCAGCATACCTTAAAAATTGCATTGGATATTGCAGAGAAAATGTATAATTTAATATAGACTGAGCAGGAATTAGTTGATGGGACAATAATAAGCTTGGATATAATTTGAGATCCTCTGTTCAGAAGCAGTGATGAACAGGAGGAGAAGATTGTTCAGAGATTTTAATGAGTCATGTGTTTTTATCATAAATGAATACTAATGAGTTCCACTTGACGTGTGTCCTTTTTGATGTTTTTTATGATTCAGACTGTTTGGGTGGTCTGTCTTAAATTGAGTTGTGTTACTGTTCAAAGAGAAATCCTTTTTAGGTGTGTATTTTTTCAAAGAGGAGGAGTTTATGCTTGTATCTTCTGGGAAGTAGAAACACCGGAGTTTGCAATTTTATCTAAATCGTCCTCACTGTGCAGCGAGTGCTGCTGAAAGCTGAGACTACCCACATAGACCTGCTTTTTTTTTTTTCCTGATCTATTATTAGAACAAAATACTGCAAAGTTCAAATACTCGCCATGAGCAACTCTGCAGCTTTTGAACTGAAAACAAAAGCTGCCTACTTAGACAATTTCTTTTTTTATAGAGTAGTCCCAGGTGTGTTAAATATAGTCTTCTTTCCTTTCCTTGTGGTATTTCTAACCAGGGCGTATCCACTGGGACCAATATCTTTCTTTGTGGTTATTGCTACAAACTTTAATTTATAGGGATCCAAAGATCATCTTGCTGAGCTGTTTATTATTATTATTATTTATTTTTAATTAATTATATAATTATTATATATTAATTATTTTATTATTATTATTTTAATTTTTTTACAGCCAATGGCTTGAACTTCATTAGCAAGGATCAAATGTATCTGAAAGAGAGATGAATTCTTAGAGGTCATTACGATCTGAAGAGTTTTGTGAAAGTTAGGAGCTTGGTAAAGTGTACCCAAGCAGATACCTCCCCCAGGGCATGGCCGAGGGAAGCTTAATTTGGGGTATTACAAAAGACATGTGACGTTGCCGCCAGTAAGTTGTTTTTTTTTTTTTTTTTTTTTTTCCCTTTGGTTTTAAAGTGTTTTGCTGTTTGTAAGATCTGTATAAACAGGTAATAAATATTGGAAGTTCATATATGTGAAATATTGATAATCTACAAAGAAGCTGGAAATGATTTAGCTATTTTAACTGGAAATGTTATTTGTAGGCAAATTAAGCCCTTGAATTTGAAAGCAAAAATAGGGTTTCAGATGTTTAGGGTGATGAAAAGTAACTTGATTTACAAGCAGAGAAGAGCAATAGGCTGATGCAGAGGAGTTTTACATCTGCCTCCACCCTCCAACAAGTAAAGTATTCTTGTAATTGAGCGCCAACAGATCAGAAACATTAAAAAGAACCCCCCCACACTCCCTCTGGCTGTCACAAGGCCTGCAGAGCAGTGTCTGCAGTGTTTTTTTGAAAAAAACATTTTAATTTATTTAATAAATTTAAAAATATATGTTTTTTCTTATTGCAAGAGGTAGTAGGCTTGGCTCTGGAAACTCTCATCCAGTGTGGGTGGAGTGAAATCTTTTTTGCTGCTTTCTGCCGAAATGAAATAAAATATCCCTAGATTGTTGAGGTTAGAATTTTGAAAAATGGGGCCAAATACTTTGTGGGTGATACTTTTTTGTGGATGCTACTTTGCTTATATACCAATGACAAAGTTCTATTTTATTATTTCTTTGGTTATGAGCTTCTTAGAGAAATGCTGAGAGCTCTGTGGGGATTGGAACAGTGCCAGCTTTTAAACTCAGTTTAATGTCCCTGAAATTAGAGGAACATACCTGAAGTGTCTTATGTGACTGTCTTCAGAACACAAGCGTTTTGGGAGGGTTGCAAACTATTGGGTAAGGGGTTAATAGATTTCTCTTCTGGGAAGCATTTTCTTTATTTTTTAGCTATTATAATTTAAGCATCTTATGTCAGGAGCTCCTCATTAGCTAGTGGTTTGTCTAGTGCTCTTTAGTCTGATGTTAGTGGTTTAGTTTAAGAGTACTTTGATTTTTCTCTCCCTTCCCTTTTTCTCCTGGAAAAGAAAAAAAAGGTCTCAAAACTTTAAAAAAAGCCCACCAACTAGAGTAAGTTGCAAATGATATTCATTGAAATTTAGGAAATTTGAAACTGTACCAGAAGTATATGTGGTATTTGAGGGAATGTGATCAGGTTGAAACCCAACACTTGTGTCTGAAAATGTTATGCTGTCATCTTTTTTGAAACAGCCTCTAACTTTATATAGATAAGTAATAAAAAGCTTGTCTCCAAACTTCTCGTTTGTTGGAGCAGCAGCAGCTGTACTGTGTGTGAGCATTTTCCAGCTGTCAAGAGTAGTGATCCGTTACTGTTAACTTGCACAAGTTAGGGAAGGTGGCTGGTTAAGACAGAAGTTACAACTTCGTTACTGAATGCACCTAGATATCTCCCAACAATGTCCTGACGGAGAGATCTTCTGGGGTTCCCAGAGAAGGATTTAGTATGGGAGCTTGTTCTGGGCATTATAGCAAACCCATAGAGAAAGCGGTGATTTCAGAGCAGATGAGCTTCTCTTTCCATTAATTTTAGTCATGCTAAATCACTTTTACTTGAGTCATTTCCCATTTGCTGAGAGAGGAGGCATGGAGTGAATGAGTCCATATTCTCTTGGAGTTGAAACATCTTGTGGCTACTAGTTCCTTAAGGTGAGTTTGAAAATGTTGTCTCTGTAGAAGTGGAAAGACAAAAAGCTGCTGCTGAGAGCACTGTGGAATTATGAGAGCCTCACAGCAGAGGTCTAAGTGGAGCCGCATGCAGACAGCCCCTGGCGTAGGAGATCAGGGGATGTATGTGGCTCTTCATGTTTTGCTTGATGTCCTGAGAGTTAGGGAGAAAGCATCTAAACTGGCACATGAAAAAAATGAACTCAGA